CCCGCGAACACCTCACAGCAAATGAAATCGACCAAAAAACTAAGAAAAATTGTATCGGTATTATCTATATATATATATATATATATATATATATATATATATATACTACATTCTAGATGTACGTAGCCCGTATCAAGTATTTACGACTTTTTTGAAATCTTGTATCAATCATGGTACGCCATGGTAAAGAACTGCCATAACACACCACCATTATAATTCTCTAGTCGAGCATTGTCATCCGCCTGAATGTCCTGTTGTAAATGGGTTTAGTGTTTTGTTTTTGTAGCGTGCATGCTTCAGCGAAGGCCTTAATGAGCTGTAATAAATATACCGTTCCTCATATCAGCTAGCCGCCAGGCACTAAATACGGTATTGATATCGTATATTTATTGACAATATATACTTCTTAGACAATTATTATTCACTTTCCCGACTGGCTTTTGTGCGAATGTCCTTTTGTCTGCCAATGCCCCCGTAATACCACGAATCAGTTAACAGCCGCAAAAAATTTAAATCCTGGCCATCAAATCAGTCCTTGCCATTAACAGCAACAACATCTAACTAGCGAGCGAAATCCCCAATATATATGCTTACTGTATGCGATTTCGTACGCAACGGCTTCGCCGTTTGCGGCTGTTCCGTCAGGGATTATTGTAATGCTTTCCCACCGCCATTTTCGGCCCACCCCTCATTTACACGGGCACTACGACCCCCTTCTGCTCTACTCTGTACCAGCACCGTAAAAATCGAGTAACTGTGCGGGGCAAAACGGGACAAGCTGCGTTACGGGGCCGCTTACCCTGAGCTGATATCTGCTGTTGTCTTTGTAAGCTGTTCTTTGATCGTGTGGTTGTACAGTAGCTTCGAGGGGCTATGGGGCAACAAACGGGGTAACAGGCGTGAGGGGACGTAGCTGGGGGGCGGGACGAAAAGCGTGATGGTTATGGTCGTGAAAAAGCGATCTGCTATTTGCGTCTTTGTCGACTTCGGTTTTGATGGTTGTAGTTCTTGCTGTTATTGCGTCGCTATGTGATATGCTTTGCGCATTAGGGCTGGTCACATTTGCGTCCTGAATCGTTATCATCAACGGACTGTTGCTGGTGATGTTATTGGGGAAGCGTCATCGACAAATCCATGGACGGGCGGGCATCTTGTGGCGCCTGAATGCGTGCCTCGGGTCCGGGACAGCTTTCGGCTGCCTTCAGATGTCCTAGAATGACGTTGGATTGTCTCGTGCGAAATGACTTTCTGCTGCTGTCGCAGTTGCGTTCGCTCGGCGCTTGAAGCGTTACAACCGTTATATAAAGATGTTTATCATGAGCCGGCCATTATTTCGTCGTTTTCATTTATTTAACAGCGTTTGTTTAAATCCTATCGCCAATGGGCTTCATGGCACTTCTAACTTTTTATTCGAAATAATCCTTCCGGTTTCTACTGTTATAGATTAAACCTAGTATATATAGTGCCGGCCCATAACGTTGTTGTTTAATTGATATCTACCTTATGCTAGCTACGAGAGTCAATTTTTGTTATTAAATAAAAATCTATAGATTGACTGTACACAGATGTAAGGCGATCCCCACAATGCAGGATAATAGCCCGGCCATGATAAGTGCATTTGCTCACAAATCTAACGCCTTTAGTAAAGCGAGGTGTACTGACTAGCTCTGAAGGCACATTTGCTATTACATATATAAGTGATTGTATAAAAAACAAGAACACACATCGTACAACGATTTCGAAATAACATGTTATTATATATATATATATATATATATATATTATTGCAATCCTGTTACCATCGTTGATTAGAGTGCTGTTGTTTGTAAAAAGGAGTAATTATTAATATTAGCAGGAGTAGGAGCTACAATTGTTTTGCTTTGATCGATCCAAACATGAACTCTTACTCCTAGTCAAGTTATTTCGTGTTATTTTTACGCTGATAGCATACTACTGTTGAATTGTATCTTCCGTTGAGGCCTTCAAAGGGCTTTGGTTCCTCCTGCAGCTTCAGTAGAACGGATCCGTTGAAACTTACAGCTTCTTATACGGCCGCTTACGGCTGGGTCGTCAGCAATTGAACTTCAACTATCTACCCTAATTACTGCTGTCCTTTTTTGGATGAATATCTGATACAAAATGCACATAGATTTTATGGAGACAGAATGTATCGCAGCATAACAGATGCTGGTCGCCGCAGAGCTTCATAGCAGCTACCAAAAAAGTTGTTAAGGTGATGAAGTTTACTAGTAAACAACGATAGCGACATTAAGAAAGACGGAAAGATCGTTCATTGATACGGGTCAACAGCAGTATCGCTTCCTCTGACTTGATCACCCTGAGGTGGACAGTCGAGACTGTGGCAACGTGTGACATGACGCTTTCACATTTATCATACACGTGACATTGTCGGCACTAGTTGCAATAGTGGGACGAAAAGGCTGATTTTGGGGATCTTTTCTGCCGATTCGAAGGCTTTTCTGCACTTAACAATAGTACTGGCATTGGAAAAAACAGAAGTGAGAATGATCTGCAGCCTTCCTTATATATTAATCGGAGAAGTGATCAATTTTTTATTTGCTTGGAATACTGAAAATAACAACGCATGTGAGAATGATCAACATGCATTGTATGTTGCTCCGCATAACGAAATCCACATGTGCACGAGCGCCATGTTGTGTATGATAACAGGGCCGTGTTCATTCGAGTACTTGTATTATTCCATCTTAGACGTGCATAGTTACCATATGCATTTTCCATCGGTATCTTATATTTGATGCGGTTTTAATAGCAGAGCTACTTAGATAGTAGGGCCGGCTGGCTGGCTGGCTGGCTGGCTGCCTGCCTGTCGCACTCTACTGAAATCCAGTGGCTTTAAACATCTGGTTCGTCTTGTGAAGCGCTTTATTTTTGTTTTATTTAATATGTACTAGATAATTTAATAATAAGAGCTTGTGCCGACACGTTTCATCAGATGAAAGGACATCGTTTTATAACTCGCAACTATAAGTCAGTGAACTACTAACAATCACAGGCTGATATATAACGGACATATTCTATTATTGAGTTATACTATAGTAAAAATAAAATACAACGTTTTTGTTTACTTTAACGCATATATATATATATATATATATATATATATATATATATATATATAATTGTCACTATAATGATGACTGTCATCTTTTACAGATATAACTGCCGATTTTGCCCGTTCGCCTCGAAACAGAAGGGTAACCTTTTGCGTCACGAACGCATCCATACCGGCGAGAAGCCATATGCATGCGATTTGTGCGATTATAAAAGTCATCGTGGAGACAAGATCACCGCACATAAGCTTACCATCCATAAGGTACGAAAAGTGCACACCTAAAATGAAAAGTCTAAGTATCGCATGTTTTGTATATAGAGTGGGAAAGAGTACTGGATCATTCAGAGTCTTCGTATACCTAGCATTAATATATAGGTATTGTTTAGGACGAGGCAAGAGCGTATGGAAAAAGCCCCTTGTATTTTTCTTATTTCCCTATTGTCGCCTTTTGTCCCTCTCTCTCTGTATGTATTTTCTTTATTTATGTGACATTTTCTGCGATAAGCTGCTGCGAGGCCCTTTTGCCTAACCCTGTTTATTTCGCGACGACAGGTAAAAAGTGCATTGTCATACTGATACATTTGCAGATGCACAAGATGGCTGATGCGGATATTTATGGCATTAAGGCTCATGAACACGTTCCGATATCTTACGCAATGGTGTTTTTTTTTTTTGTTCTGGCACTTGATGTTTGCAGGTGGCAGCACCAGCAGTCCAACCGAATTCACCATTGAATTCCTCCCTGAGTCTCCTTGCTATGGCTCAGTTCAATGCCAATAACAATCACGACAGCGACTCTACACAAAACAGTCATCACCAGTCACCACCGGCGATTATATAATTGCTGTTAACGGCGTATGAATCCAGTTGTAATTAAGATAAGGCATCATTTGTACTATAACAAAAAGCGAAAACGGCAAGAGGAGCTGCAGCGGGCTGAAATTTATCGACCAGTGGCAACGTAGACTTCGCTGGTTGATCCACTCAAATAGATTACGTTCATGGACGAAGTGAATCCAATTCCTCTATATAATAATGGTAGTATCAAACCATCTGTCAATCAGTTCCTTGAGCACGGATAAAAATGCTTGTACTGGAAGTCGAGAAACGAAATGCCAACAACAATGTAGGAACATCGGATACTGAAAATAGTCGGACATGAGTTCGGGCTATGGTAGATTGGTTCAATATAGTCAGATTGCCATCAGTGATCTGATGACGGTAGCAGACATCCGAATAGGTTGCCACGAGATCCGACACGCGTGAATAAACATATTCTGAAAATAGAACAGTAGCCTTTCGAACACTGGAGATCCGTGGAAACCTTTATGGAGTTGACAACAGAAGCCTATTTCCATATTGCGACCCAGGCTCAGACTGCGGTTGCTTAAAAAAGATTAGTGTTTTCGTGGAGAACGCCTCTGTAATCGTGAACCGATCGTTGATGAATCTCGTATTCGATGTGATCTTCGGAGTCTACTGAGCTTTGAAATCTATCGGCATTTTTCTCTCACGCCATGATGGTTTCAGCAATCGCTTCAAGACACGGAGGCAATTTCGAGCTGCTGCCATAACAGAATAAAAAATTGTCAGCGCCGAACTTTCGCCAAGCCACCTGAAATTTGATGAAGAGTCTGAATAAAAACTGAACGGAGCACCCTCGTGGAAACGTCGACGACCCACTGTGACGGCTTAGCTTCGCATGATTGTTGTGCATAACGTTTTCGACTGACGTTTTCGAAGAAATGATGGAAGTGCGGCACTTCTATCGCTATCGAGCATAATGCTAAATCAAAGCAAAACAGTCCTTTTGCGTATTCTGTAGTGCGCGAAGTCAACACGAGTAAGGACCATAAATATAAGCAAGGAATGTCTTATTTTAAAGTGTTTTTGGGTGTCTAAAAAAACCAGCGAACGACGAAGATTCGACCCACTTACAACCGTAAATGGTGATAGACGTGATTGAGGCACGCGGACCTGTAGACTGAAATCGGGCCTGACAGTTGAGTTCGACTTAAGTTCTCGGGTCCTGAACCGCCAGTGATGACCCGTCGATCGGGCTGACAAACCGATCGAGTACTAAACATTCCATCTTGTGATGAGGTAGGTTTTAACAGAGGGATGACTTATTCTTGTTGTACAAAATATAGATTATGAGTTATTATACAATATAAAAGAAAACGTGTTCCTATCAAGCTTTGCATGCATAAGTCTTGCGTTTAGGTACGATACTATATTGGAAGAGGCACAGATTTCAGAGCGTTTGATAAATGAGCGAAAAGTTTGTATATGTATTTTATTTCTGCTGCTGTGCATATGCGCGCGAATTTTTGCTACCGATAAAATACGTATTGTACACCAGTAGGGTATAAGTCCACATGAGCCTTTTTCAAACAAACAACCGTTGAACTACTAAAACGTCGCCTCTAATATCATGTACGCCATGTGTTCTTAAACTATTCGTATTCGTGTCTCTTACTTTGGACTTAACAAACTTTTAAGTTCTATTTATATTTCGATAAATATATATATATTAACTCAGTAACTGTCTGACAAGGACTGAGCAAATATTTCGTATACATAACATTCTGTGTTTCATTAATAAGATGGACATACGCAGTGTACCAGGTGTTAGAGCTGACCAGTCGACAAAACGATGTGACAGTACGTGTGCACTTCACGGTTTTTCAGAGAGAGAAAGACTTCAGACAGTATAAAAAAAAATGAAAATTCCCACAGAACTACATTGAGAGAAGCACTTCGAAAGTTGAGTCTAACTTGTACTATTCATCTTTCGCTTCGTTATCTTCATCTGTTTTCAGGTACATCCGAACATCCCATTCCAAATAGACGACCAATGATTATTTCATGACCAATGTGAGAATACTTAATTACTATTAATAATTACACATATACATATATATGTGTATATATATATGTGTATATATACACATATATGTATATATATATATATATATACTCTATGAAAAGAAGCTATCGTTAGCATAAGACGAGCTGCTAAAATATCGAGGTAATAGTGACCGGAGGCTTCCGCGTCGATGAAGCTGTTAGACAGTGATGCAAAACGTTACACTTAGCCATACAAACGAGCGAAGTACGCATGTATTTCACGAACAAAACAGCGAAATATTCGTGAAACCGGCGTCGTCCGATAAACTAAAACTGTTATCGATTTGTTTAAGTTTTCGTCAATACGGACGACGCCAAACCATGTCGTATTCAGGCTCATGATACATTCTAGTTTATGCAAGACTGCTGGCCTACTTTATCTGCAAGTCAGAAGCACTGCGTATATCAACTATACACCCACCGATCATAAACAAAAATAAGGAACCTGTATGAGTTTAGTTGTGGTACCAGATGAGGATACGCGTGAAGAGTCTATAAACGGGAAAGATTTTTGCCGAAAACAAGTGCAGGTTGTGCTGATGGCCTGGTATCGTAGACCTCGTGGCGTCTGAAGTGCTTTGCTAAAAGCATTTGACCAATCAACTCGTGTTGAACGATGAAAAAACGTCAGCTGCATCCGACGAATACTTCAAAAGTTGCAAAGATAAAACAAAACACCTAAAAGCGTCTAGATACATGTTACGGCAATGAATTGTGATTTTTATATTTGTATGTTATAGGTGTATGGCATAAACGTATGCAGATATGACCTAGAAAGGCAACGCTGGAACTGATAAAAAAGGAAAATACCAATCACTTATACCTCTCCGTTCTCGAAAAAATCATTATACATATGGAATTATCACTTCAGTTGCCACCCTCACGATACCACTTCATTTGTTGGTTCTGCTCTATTGTGTTCAATGAATTTTTAGGTAGATTTAGAACTATTTCTCGATGATAATTTTATATCTTCATGGTGAAGACAATAACGATGCTGTCAGCTTTGATGAGGGTTGTGAACCTTTACAGAATTAACACTGTACATGCATATATACACACATATATATATATGTATATATATATGTATA